ATCTTTTTTTGTAATTAATGTTTCCAACCACTTGTGTAACCTTCTCTCACACGTCTCTCCCCGCCGACCCGAAAATGTGTTTCAGGCTTATTTCCAGGGAATGCAGTGCCTGGATTCGTGCTGCCTGTCCAGAGGCCATTAAAGCTCCTTTGCAGTGGGAGTGCTGGGACACACACAGAGACATGGGATGGCACAACTGGGAGCACTGGGAGCAGCTCCTGCACGCTCCACTGGTGCCCAGCTCCTGTTAGAGCATCACAAGACCTGGTTTGTCTCCTTCAAGAGCTTTGTCCCTTTAAGAGCTGTTGTGTTTTGGCTTCTAAACTGCAGCTCCCAGAGGGGGATTCACCCCCCCAGGACAGCCTGGGTGGGAGTAGAGGAAAGGATAAATCTCTGGGATAAATCTGCTGTGTGCCAGCGGATGGGGACAATTTCCAGGTCCTTATTGCTTGCATAAGGACATCTGCCCTTAGCTGCTCCTTTCTCTGCTGCCAGCACACCCACGTGGCAGAGGTAAATACTTCCTGTCCTGCTCTGCCTGTTAGACACCTGGAAATTAGAAAATTAATTAAATTCTCTCTGGGATGGGTCTGCACATTCAGAGAATACCTATGGGCACTTGCTGCATGGTCCTTGTACCTTTACTTGGCTGCGAGCTTTCTGCCTTAGCCAGTGTTACACCACCAAGGGCTGCACACATCCACACTGCCCAAAACAATTATGGGATGGACCTGTTCAGGCTTGAGAGCTTTTAACAGCATTAGGTGGAAGAGAAAAAGAAAAAAAAAAGCCGAGGGTTTGGCCTAATGTATGGACAAACCATGTGATCGGGACCAGGCATCCAGGGCTAACTTTTAATCTGCTTTGTTTCAAGTGGGAAATATGTGAAGATCAAATAAGTTCAAATCCAGGTCAAATATCCTTGAAAATCTTTGATTTATACAAGCAGGAAAATGAGGTTTAAAAGGAGTGATTATGAAAGGGTTACTAAAAACACAGCTGTACGCATACTCTTATATCTGAGGCTCTCCAAAGAAAAACTGTGTGACATCTATATTAACCTTTGGCTGTACACCAATGAAGGCCTGTAGTGAGCTGGAATGCAAGGCAGCCCCTTCCAAATTTTAACACAAGCCAGGTTACAGCTGCAAATGCCTGCAGCCCGTGCTCACTTTATAAAGTATTCCCCGAAGGAAATTTTTTAACTGTTATAGAATCTTTTTCTAATACCCTACAGTGTTAAAGCCTGTTATTAAAGGGCAAAGAGATGGTTCTCTATGCCAAACACTTGTCAACAAAAAGGATAGCCAGATGGTATGAAATAAAAGGAAACTTGGGGGCTCTTCAGCTTCTTGATTTATATTAACAAAAGCCACTTTCAAGTGCTCCTTCCAAGAATGACTAATTCCACCCCCCCCTTCTTTTTTGCCAGGATTAAACAATGTTGTTCATTTTACAATCAACCACGAGACAAATTAACAAATTGCATATCACTTGTGCCGACTCTTTTAAAAATATTCCAAGCAAGTCTGTTTACCAAGGCAAGTTTACCAGCATAAGGACAACACAATTATTTTTAGAAGAGAAGGCCTAAGTCATCTAGAGGATGTTTACTCCTTAGCTGCTGTTTATAAACTTGAAATTAAACTTGTGCAGAAAATGCTTTGCGTTTTTTCAGTTCCTAAAATGGATCCGTTTGTAAACTCTATTGGACAGGATCTGAAATTAAATTCTAAATGCTAAAATTATAGTAATAAATTTTACAAAATTAGCCAGTAATTAACTGGCTAACTTAGTCAGACCACTGTGGCTAAATTCTCTTTTAATTTACAAATAACTTCATTCTTGACACAACCCCATTCCTAATTCAGCTTAGCACAGGTGTAAGCTAAGACAAAATGTAGCCTGTAAATTAACTGGTTATAAATCTAAATCTAATTAGTTGTCAGGATTTTACAGTAAGTAAAACTTTGGTTAGTACAAAGCTCCCTAAAACGGAGCACCTGTATTCTGGTTCCTCCCTACCAATATCCAGCATAAATTTTCTGGACTAAATATACACGGTATCTCCATAGAAATCAACGTGTGTGGGGTTTGTTGTTGGGGTTTTTACTATGTAGCCCAGCAAATTCTGCAATGTAGTTTTTTAAAAAATATTATTCCCTCTAAAGCTGTACAACTAGATGGATGAAGAATATGATTAAGGTAAAAAAAAAGTGCTTTTGTAGATTAGCATTTAGAAGCCTGGAATTGCAGTTTTTTATTGACTGGAATTTCAAAATATTATTTCTTTACTCGCTTTTACTTCCTCCATGCTAAAATGAAACTTTATTATGCTGTGACACTTCCTCATTGTGATGGCTCTGGTATAGTAATAAAAGCCTACCTGTGAAATGCAATGCTCACAGAGTATCTCTTACAAAAGTAGGACACAGTTTACTACAGTCTGCATTTAGGAATTCAGCTGTGCTTAAAAAGGGATCATTGTAGAAAGTCTTCAAAAAAATGCAGTTCTACAATAGATCTTCTAATTTTCCCTGAACGTCATAGAAAACTGTACGTCCCAAAGCAGGTGGTGTGTTTGATTATATACGGAGTGAGTGGCTGCTCTAATTCATTAAAACCTCCATAAACAAGCCTGCCTTTGTCCTATAAAGATGAAAGGGCAACGACTATAATGGGATGAAAGGTGTGCACAGCGATGAAGAAAGCTATTATAGATCTGTGTCCTTTTTAAACTCGTCCTGGCATGCACTGTTGACAAGGGAACAAAACAGCACAGATAAACCTCCAAAATGTGCCTTGCTGGTCGTAATTCCACCTGTCCTTAAAACTACTGGGCTTTGCTTGCACTCTTACTACTGACAGCAATTAAATAAAACAATCATTTAGGATTTTGCACAAGGAACACTCTTGCATTTCTATGCTGACAACAAAACCTGGCAGGTTGAAGAATGGATATATCCACTGCAGTCACCAAACTGCATCAGGACGTCGATTATCAGGGATTATGGCTTATATAGGTGAAACCTGCTGCATACAAAGTTCTCACGTAGGCACAGACGTATCCAAAATGCAACTTTTAATTCACATTTATGGATCGATTCCACTCCTTTGTATTCAAAATCATCAGTGGCCTAAATATTAATTCTTTCTTATAAGTCTTACATGAGCTGACAAGGAGCCTCTTCCTTACATGGGCAATGTGGGACAGGAGCGCTGCAGTTTCAACTGATGCTTCAGTAAAATTACTACACCTGAGGAGCAGAGCTAAACTCCCTCCCATTATGTACTTACATGTTTCATAAGGTTCTTTCCTCTCCACTGAAATGGAAAGCAAAGAATGAATTTCGCTATTGCTATTTGAACATCTTTTGTCTTCTACTCAGGAGTCTCCTTGCACTCGGTGTAGGACCCAAGAACCACAGAGAACAGTGTTAGCAAGGTCACCCTTATCTTTAAATTCAAATATTTGACTGCTGTTGGTACTTTTGACTGCTCAAATATTTGATTTTAAATGTATCATTGCTCATCGGCTTAAGTATCCAGCAGTGACTAGACAAACAGTGTAATTCCAAATGGAAAGCACCAGCCCTCGCAGAGCACAGCCCCCGGGCCAGATGTAATTCCGAGTTTCCCACTGTGAAGCTTATGGCAGTTAATAAGGAGGCGCAGCTCATGCAAACGAGAGCTCTCCCACAGCGTCCCGTGGCTCCTTATCATGCAAGAATTTTGCCGGGATGGCTACCGTGTCTAATAATTATTAACGTGTGTCACAGAGCCTTTACAGCTGCTGAGCGTTTCAAGTTAGTTAAAGTGCTGGGATTAGAGAGCTGGTGGTTTAGGTGGTGATTTCATCTTCACTGCCTCTGAAGTTCCAGACAGTGGAAGTGTCCAGAACAGTGACATCCGTAAAGGTGTTAATGGATTTTTTGGAGATGAGGGTCTGTAATTCCTGGCAGGTTATGTGCCAGAGGTGCGCTCCTCTTGCACTTCGCGTTTCCCTTTGTTTGGGACAAAGTCAGAGCTGATCTTGTTTTGGAAACACAATTCAGGTTCTGCCTTGAACTTGCAGGCACCCAATCTGTACGTGTGTGGTTTGAGAGCCGCACATGATGAGGTCTAAAAACGGATAGTGCGAGCCAGGTCTGTAATTATACATTTAAAATAGAATGCGCACCCTGACAATGTTTTACTCAAATCCGGCCAAGTCAGTCCACACGGGTGTGCAATCTACAGTGAGCAAATAGAAATCAGATTGGGCCGTGGCATCCAATTAGAGAGGCCTAGCGAGGCGCATACAAAGCGTGCCAACTCTCGTATCGTTTGCATAAACCCATCCACATGTGCTTGTGAAAAGAGGCGAGTGAGCGGCATAAACTGGGGTCAGCAGGAAAAGCTGCAGGAGTAAATAAGGGTTTACTGTGGAATCCCTCCCAAGGCATTAGGAAAACATGTGCGAGCAGCTCAGCCCCTCCGGCCGGGGGAGCCGGCGCTGGGATGGAGCCGTCCGAGCCATCCGTCCCGCAGCCCCGGGGCTCCGCATCCCGCAGGAGCACCGGCCCGGTGCGGGAGCTGTGCGGGAGCCGAGCCGTGCCCTGCCTGCCTTCCGTGCCTTCCTTGGCGGGGTGGGATGTGCAGCAGACCTGCTAATCGTCCCGTTCAACTCCTACCTGCAAATCCCATTCCTGACGCGCAGCAGCTATCAAAGGGAGCGGACGACAAAGACCTCGGTGCGGAGCGTGGGGAGAGCTCGTGGCTGCCCAAACGCTGCGAGGGGAGGTCACAGCCCTCTCCCCGCCGATGACACTCAATTACCGCCCGGCAAAGCAGCCACCCTGCTACCTGCCCATCCTTGCCCGGGTGGGCTGTCACCCACCTGACCCGCTGGAAACAGCTCCCGGCCGGGGCCACCTGCGCCACCGGCCCCTGGCCAGGTCACCGCTCCAGCCTCCCCCCGGTACCGTTCCCTGCCCGGTCGCCCCGGGACCGGCACTCACCCAAGTTGACGAAGCTCATGACCATGTCAGCCTCGGTGAGGAAGTTGCTGTCCTGCAGGCTGGCCAGAGGCGGCCCCTGGGTGCTGAAGATGGGCTTGTAGGGGTAAGAGAAGCCCTCGCCGTCCTCGGCGGCGGCCCCCGCCGCCCCCTCCTCCACGGACATGGCATTGTAAAGGTCCAGCATGAACATGGGGGCCGAGTTGTGCTTGCCGTGGAGGTGCGGCCGCGGGCGGTGCGGCAGGCCGAGGATGGAGAGGATCTCCCGCTGCATCTCGCGGCGCTCGGGGCCGCGCAGCCGCCGGTGGATGAAGCTGGAGTGCACCTCGTTGTCCACCGTGAAGTCGGCGAGCACGCAGCGCAGCCAGAGGGCGGGCGCGGCGGCGCCCAGCACCAGCAGCCAGGAGGCGGGCTGCCCGCGCCCCGCCACCGGCATCGCGGCGCGGCGGCGGCGGCGGCTGCGGGGCGGCGCGGCGGGCGCGGGGCTGCCCCCCGCCACCGGCATGCGCGGGGGGCCCCGCGCTCAGCCCCCGCGGAGGCACCGCAGCCCGTTCATGAGCCCGTGCATGGCCCGAGCGGCGGCAGATCAGCGGCACCGGCCCATGGACGGGGCGGCGGCGGCGGCGGCCCGAGGCGCTGGTCCCGGCGGCGGGAGCGGAGCGCTCTGGCTCGTCCCGCCGTGTGAGCGGCGCGGCTCGGCGGGGAGCGGCGGGAGGGTGTCTCTGGTGGGAGGAGCAGGCAGCAGAACCCAAGCGCTCTCTCTCGCTCGCCCGCTCCAAAGCGCTCGGCGGAGAAAATCCCTGGGACTGCCTCGAGGAGGGACGGCTGCTCAGGTTGCTTTTCAGGATGTTTGGGGAGGCTCGGCGAGAGGCTGAGCCGGTCCCCAGCGCCTAAATTGCAGTGAACGTCATTAAGGAGAAGACAACCCAGGAGAGAGGGTGGTTTATGTAAAAGGAAGGGGCCCAAACTCCCACAAACTTTATAGATGCGAGTACATCAGCTGTATGCACAAGCACTTCTTTTTCCTGCCTACTCTTTTTTTTTTTTTTTTCTTAGAAGAAACTACCCGTGACAAAACAAACTCCATTAAATTATTTAAAACGTGACGATTATATATTCACCTACATAGACATGTATGTGTGTCTCTGTGCACAGAGCCCCGGGTCACTTTTTCCAGTTAATGGAGAAGAGTTAGAAATCCGAAGGGGAGATATTCTCTAACAATGATAAAACCAGGAACATTTACTTGAAATGTAACTATCAACCTGTGCACACGGGTGGTTTATGCCGTTACCCTGCCCCCTTGCCTTCCCCTCTCCTTCTGCTCCTGGTACATGCCATTTTTGGGATATTGCCTTGAAACAGATTGTCAGCTTCTTAAAGCAATGACTTTTTAAACTCAGTGGGTGCAACAGTATTGGAACCCCAGTCCCTATTAGCCCAGCTAGATGTCTGCGACAACAGTAATTAATAATAATAATAATTTCAGATGACAAATGTAAACTAATGCTTCCCAAATCTTACTTGGAAAGAAGGGGAATTCAGGATGGTGTATTTGGGTCACTGAATGGACCCTGAGGTAACCTCACAAATCATACATACATACAATAAATTTATGTTGACCTTAATTCCTTGGGCAAAGGAGGAAGAAAGGGGGTGGAGGATAAAGCAGGTCAACATTTTTGGAGGGTGTTTTTTGATAGATTGTTTCATCTAATATTTTCAGACAAGCAACATCTGGTAGTGTCCAGCACCAGATCCTGCAAGTCTTTTGGAAACTAACATTCAGCACTTCTTTTAGTTCTTTATGTTTCAAATCTTGGTGTGAACAGAAGGTAGCCAGTCAAAAACCTGCATGGGAATTGTGATGAATGATAGAATGTGATTGCATGCATGCATGTGTACCTCTTAGTACAGGGAAACTGAGGCATCACATAGAAATTACTCATGGCACTATGGAAATAGTGGTGGAACCAGCATTAAACCCTCAGCTCAGACCTAACACGTGTTTAGGAATGGTTCAAGCTTGGGGAGGATGGAGGGGGCGGAGAGGTTGTGGAGCTATATCCACCTTAGGTGACATGAAAGCCCTTTCTACACCCACTGGTGCTGCTCAAAAATCCCCCTTCCCAGTAGCTGCCTACCCAGTGCTCCCCACTGATGGAAACACCACTACCCAGCAGTTGATTTTTGGCTGCCCAGTTAAGATCAAACTCTCCAGCATCTTTTGTACTTCCTGAGGAGCAGCACTAACCTGTTCTTCACCATGCATACATTTGCTTAAATTTCTTCCTTGCCGAGGGTGTGGTTTCTAGATCAATTTAAGCTGTTTTAAAGCCAGGCTCCCCCTGAGAAAGATCTTTGTTTTCTCATCCCAGCCCAGCCTGGACCCTCAGCTGTGCAACCCCACCCCTCCGCAATGCCGGTACCAACATTTACACCCAGGTCAGAAAACTGATTCTGTTTTTAAAATATTTTGGTTTTTTAACCATTTGTGTATTTGCTGAAAATAATATTCTGCTGGATCAGCTTCCTGTTCTGCCTGACTCCATGCTGTGGTGGAAGGAGGGAGGCCACAGGAATGCACAGCTGGGGGCAAGGAGAGGGTGTCTGGGTCAGGCTGCTGTAGGAAGGGCAGACAGATGATGTGAGATGTCTCTGCTCTCCCTTTCAGCTGCAGACAACTTGATTTCTCTTCCCTTTTTGTTCCTTGTAGACTGTTTCCCCAGAGCTGTGAGTGCTGACCTTTCATCAAGCAGCAGTAGGACAAGGAGCCTTGCCTTTGGCATGGCTGTGAGATGAAAAAGCAAGGATGGAACAGTTGGCTGGAGAGCAGGTGTCTCTGCTGCCTAAATTACTTGTACTGGAATTGCTTGTAGCTCCCATTTAAAAACAGACTAAACTTCAGGTCAATGTTGTGTTCTGAGAGAAAAAAAGGGAAAACCTGGGAGGTTTCTCTGCTCACTCATTAGCACCTTAGGTAACTGCTCTGTAGGTATCACTGGACAAAGAACAGAGGACAAAAACTAAACCTTGAAACTCTTGATTTGACAGATTTCTTGAAAAAGTGATGTTTGAAACTATTTCCTTCTTGTTTTGTCCAAGTGGTCTGGGTTAGGCCACATTTAGCTATATTCTGATTTAATGCAGGATATACTCCTAAAAGAGGGGCAGTGTTGCAACTGTAACCTGTGCTTTTACAGGAGCAGTTGGGAAAGTTTTCTCTTTTATACAGTATTTTCTATGATCCTGCTGCTCCCGTACACTTTTTAATAAATGCACGAGAGTTGGCAATGGGGGTACTTAAAAGAGCATAACAAACCCATGCCAGCAGCATGGGATGAGAAAGTGAGTTTGTTAAAGAAAATCTTTTTTATGTGAAGCCTCTTGCCTTCATCTTGCTTTGGGACACAACAAAGGGCAGCATTTATTCTGCTGGGTACAATAAAGGATGATGCAGCTCCAACTGCAGTGGTTCAGCCCTCAGATCTGAGCTTGAATTTCAAATACCTTTCAAACAGAAAGGCAATCCAGTTTGTACCTTTTTTCATGGACAACGTCTTTCTCTTCCCTCCTTTCCTGCCTGCTGTGTAAACCCTATCCTGCTTCCTGCAGGATCAGTTCCACACAGGTTGCTGAAATATTGGCACCTTCATGTCACTGTCTTTTCCTCCTCCTTCCTGGATCAATTAAGAAACCAGTTTTTCCTCTTAGTCTTCTCTACTTCTTTTGTGTAGCCTCCTCTTCTTGAGAAGGAAAGCCGAATGCTTGTGATGAAGTAATCCCTGTTTGTTGGCGCTTGCTGCTTCAGATCATTTCTCTAAAACCAGACTCCCAATGTTTCTGGGGTTCTGCACAAGCCACATTACCAACTGAGTAACTTTTTGATCTCTGTGAGTTTGTGTGCATGCTCTTACCCAAGTTTAGCATTAAATACTACCATTTTTTTTGTTTGTGTGGAAGACAGAATATTTGGAAGTGTTTATTTAGGAGATAAATAAAGGGGCTGATTTAAAAACATGAAATGAACAAAAATGTACAGGTTTTTGCTTGGTGAATTTGTCATGCTCATGTACCCATGTGAGGCATATGCCAAGGGCAGAATTTGGCCATTTGCATTCAGTTTTACCAAATGGGCAGTAAAAAATGTGGGTTCTGCTCAGAAACTCATTAAATGACTTTTCAAAAATTATACACAAAACATTTTGTCCTCTTTTCTGCCGATTCAGTTTCAAGCTCCTTGTCTTCCTACTTTGATGTCCTCTTTTTAACTTTAACCATGGTTCTTTTCCATTCTGTTTTGCATCTTCTCTCATTTGTCTTGAACAAAGTGCAGCTCCTAAATTATAGCAAACTTTTTTCTCCTTCCAAGCAGTCCCACTAAACTAGCATGTGTTTGGAGAATTTTGAGCTGTTTGTCTATGCTCTTTGCATGAAGAACATTAATACAGCAAAAATAATAGCATTATTATTTGTATAAGAATGGATAATTAGCTCACATATTTTTTTACACTGTATTGGATTATTCTTATCAAAAGTTTCTAGTGATCTCTCCAGCATTATTACTGAGAACATATTCACCAACATGGAGTTTTAATCACATTATAGATAAAGCCATTATATTGGCTCTAATACAGGAATTTGAACAGATTTGGGCTGACCTGTGCTGTGTTGGACAATACCGATCACGTTATAAAAATTAAATGTTGATTCTCAATGTGACTGAGCAGAGGAGAGTCAGAAATGAAATCTGTGTTTTGGGGTGTGAAAAAGGCATTATTACTTCTGAGGATGGCAGTGAAAGCTAAAATAGAATTTTAGGATTTATGAAATGGCGCTATGGCACTGAATTTAATGTTCATCAATGGGGAAGGTGGGCAGAATTCAGTCCTTCACTGCTCAGCCCTTCACTTCCCAAAACTGGATTGCCACGGGGATTCTTTTGTTGCTGTTTACTTCAGAGAACATTAGAAATGAGTTAATGCTACTGAAACTTTTGCAGTGTTACATTTATCACACATTTATATACAATTTGAATATTGGCATGTGCTCTATTTTCTATATATGTTTATATATTGGTATGAGCATGCATACATACACCAGTATACTTCAATCACCTCTTTAAACTTTATGTAAGTAAAGCATAGATACAGGCATGGGAGTATTGTTTAATGTAGACTCCAATATCGCCAAAGCAGCTCGGAGAAAACTGAATTTAATTTTGTACTATTAAATTATTGTGTGCACACTTGATTTGGTTGACGCTTTTGGCACAAGCCCAGGTATTTCCTTCCTTGGTAACATTGTAATCTGAACATCTGAGATCTCAGGCTTATATTTGTGAAAAGCTAAGCTGGGCACGAGCTCGGACGTCACTGTTGGGAGCGGATTTGAGTTGTGCTGCAGCACCTTGGAAATGTGCCTCTGAAAATCTGCTTAGCTGTTACATTTTCTTACAATAAATGGTGATCTTTGCTCCTACATACATTCAGGATTCTTCTTATTAACATAGATTGATGTCTTTTTCAGTTTTCTGCTGTTTGCATTCACTAAAGGCAGAGATGTTTGCTATTTTTTATAATGAACAAAGAGCATAAAAGACATATCCATTTTTTTCAAAGGGAACAAAATAACTGATCCCAACCTGTGAATGCAATGGGATGAATTTGGATGACTCTACTTTCTCTCTCCAGGCAGGTGCAGAGTAATACCTCAAAAGAACCATTATTTTGTGCCTTTATTCCAATGTGTACATAAATGCTTGCATAACCCTTGCACAGCTGCTGTACAAACTACTCATGCCACAAGTATTAGTAATCCTAACAGGG